TAAATTAAAATTTACTCTTATCCTAGCCGATAATTACATAATATAAATTGATATTAATATATATTTGTCTTGATTCTCAAAAAAATTAAAATTTTAATTCAAAATTTGAAATTTTTAATTAATTTTTAAATCTAAATATTAATATTTAATAAAATAAATTTTTAAATTTCAGATTAAATTTTAATTAAATAAAACAAAAATAATTTAAAATTAAAACTCTAATTTAAAAAAAAATCAAAAATGATATGTATTTTTTTATATAAATTATTGAATAAAATCAAACTTTTTAATATTAAAAGTTTTTATTTTTTATTATGAATTCTTAAATTAAAATTTACTCTTATCCTAGCCGATAATTTGTATTTTATAATCTACTCCTAATATAATCCGATTGGCAAAATAAGAAACTCAATAAAAAGAAAAGGAAAAAGGAAAAAGGAAACCTATAATTTTTTTTGGTAAATAAAGAAGCTTATTGTCGACTACTTATTTTTACATTTCAACACTCAGCTCAGCATCAACATCAACATCAGCTAGGGTTTACCATACTCACAGACAAACCTACTTTCTCTCCCCTTTCTTGCTCTTTCTTTCCTGCCAATCACCCACCCACCCACACTCAAACTATGTGCTCTCATTAAAGCTCTCTTCTTTAGAGACCCAATGCCTCTGAATTCAACCCCAAATCACTAGAGAAGCCACCTACATTATCTTATCTTCTCTTCATTCCGGCTTCTGGGTTGCTCTTGTTTTGTGGGTAATCGGAAAATGCATTACCCAGTTTCTCTCATATGGATCTTTTTGTTTGTTTTGATCCCTATTTGCAAACCAGATCTCGCCTCCGATAAGAGAGCGCTGCTGGCGCTCCGCTCTTCTGTGGGGGGTAGGACCCTGCTCTGGAATGTGTCCAGTGACACCCCCTGCTCCTGGCCCGGGGTCAATTGCGAGCAAAATCGGGTCACTGTGCTTCGTCTACCCGGGGTTTCTCTCTCCGGCGAAATCCCATCTGGGATTCTTGGGAACTTGACGGAGCTGCGGACTCTGAGCCTGCGTTTCAACTTCTTGTCTGGACAGCTCCCTTCGGATCTCGGACAATGTGCAAATCTCCGGAATCTTTACTTGCAGGAAAACCGTTTTTCCGGTGAGATCCCGGATTTTCTGTACGGTCTTCATGCTCTTGTAAGGCTCAATCTTGCTTCCAATAATTTCTCTGGGGTGATCTCCGATGGGTTTAACAATTTGACCCGGTTGAGGACTTTGCTTCTTAATAGCAACCAGTTTTCTGGGTCGATACCTGCTTTGAATTTGCAAAATCTTGATCAGTTCAACGTGTCTAACAATTTCTTAAATGGGTCGGTGCCAAAGGGACTGCAAAAGTATGGGTCCAGTGCCTTTCTGGGTAATTTGCTTTGTGGGCAGCCACTTGAGAATGCTTGTTCTCCTCTTGCTGCCACCCCTGCTGGCACCCCTGCTGGGGACGTGCCTGCGGGCGCCACTGCAGCAGCAGCCGTGAAGAAAGAAAAGAAGAAATTGTCTGGTGGAGCAATTGCGGGTATAGCAATCGGATGTGTTGTGGGTTTTCTGCTGCTGGTCGTGATTTTGGTGATCTTATGTAGAAAGAAGAGTAACAGAAAATCAAGGTCCATTGACATTGCATCCTTAAAGCAGCGGGAAGTAGAAATTCCCGGGGAGAAACCATCTGGGGAAGTGGATAGTGGTGGATATGGGTATTCTGTGGCAGCAGCTGCAGCTGCAGCAATGGTGGGGAATGGAAAAGTAGGAGAGGCGAATGGCGCTGGGACTAAGAAGTTGGTGTTCTTTGGGAACGCATCGAGGGTGTTCGATTTGGAGGATTTGTTGAGAGCGTCTGCAGAAGTACTGGGAAAAGGGACATTTGGGACAGCATACAAGGCGGTCTTGGAGGGTGGCACTGCGGTGGCCGTGAAGAGGTTGAAGGATGTCATACTTTCTGAGAAGGAATTCAAAGACAAAATTGAGGGGGTGGGGGCTATGGATCATCAAAATTTGGTCCCTCTTAGGGCTTACTATTACAGCAGGGACGAGAAGCTTCTTGTCTATGATTACATGCCTATGGGAAGCTTGTCTGCCCTTTTGCATGGTGAGATTGCAGTACCCCTTTTGGATTAGATTTTCTCTGCTTTGCTGCAATGGTGATAATGGAGTAATTTCTTTCCGTTCTGCATTCGTGAATGATTGCTATAATTTGCTATGATTTCTTCGCTTCTCAATCACATGTGATGTCTTCTGGGTTTGGTTTTGCTTGATTTTGCTACTTTTTGTGTGTTATTAGCATGCTTTTGAACTTATTTCCTCAGAATTCTGACAAAGACAATGATTATTTGTAGTAATTTTTTCTGCCTCAATTCTAGCACACCTCTTGAAATAAGGCCTGTATGAAGAAGTCATTAGATGTTCTAGTTAATTGCAGTTTATATTAATACATCATTGTTATTTATCTTGTCAAATTTCATTTCCTTGGGTGAATTATCTTTTGTTGGCCTAATTCTGGAATCTGCATTTTCATAGACTGACAAGCTTGTTCCCATCATTTTTTTTGTGTTAGACTATTATGTAAAGGCAGTTTGGCATTTCAGACTTCCATTAGGAAGGCCTAACAATGCATTGAATTATCACTGCAAGTTAGCATTAATTTCCTCCTGCTTGTCTTCTACAATTCTGTCACAGGGAACAAAGGTGCTGGAAGGACTCCCTTGAACTGGGAAATCAGGTCTGGAATTGCCCTTGGAGCTGCCCGCGGTGTCGAGTACCTACACTCACAAGGCTCTAATGTCTCCCATGGGAACATAAAATCGTCAAATGTTCTCCTCACTAAATCCCATGAAGCCCGAGTCTCTGATTTTGGCTTAGCACATCTTGTTGGGCCTTCCTCCACCCCCACTCGTGTTGCTGGGTACCGTGCACCAGAAGTCACTGATCCTCGCAAGGTATCTCAGAAAGCTGATGTTTATAGCTTTGGTGTATTACTCTTGGAGTTACTGACCGGGAAAGCCCCCACACATGCCCTCTTGAACGAGGAAGGCATTGACCTTCCAAGATGGGTGCAGTCAATAGTTAAAGAGGAGTGGACCTCTGAAGTTTTCGATCTTGAGCTCCTCAGGTATCAGAATGTTGAGGAAGAGATGGTTCAGCTGTTGCAGCTTGCAATAGATTGTACTGCCCAGTACCCAGACAAGCGCCCTTCAATGTCTGAGGTGACTAGGCGCATTGAGGAGCTACGTCGATCCATTGTACATGATGACATAGACAGCCAGCCTGATCAAGTCAATGACACTGATGATTCTCAGTGAGTCAATCCAGGTCCAGGTTGATAAGTCAGTCACCATTATTTGTCATGGAGTTGAAGTTCATGGTAGTTTTTTTTTCTTTTCTGTGTTTCCATGCCCATAAATATTAGCATGTTGAATGTGGTTCTTTTCCTGGATGCTGATCTGGGCAGATATTTCTTTGATTAGGGGCCAAACTGTATTTTGCTCTTTTTCTTAGTTCTTTTCTACTGTCATTTTAGTTTCCCAATTGTCCTGCTTTTCATTTGGAGCTTACACCTGAGGTAGAAAACTGTTTCATATGGTTGTTGTTGGGTGCTTGTAATTATTTCTTCAGCTTTTGCTTTTTCAGCTTTTGCTTTGCTTCACAACTTTATATCCGTTTAAGCAGAGACATTTACAACCAGGAGGTTGAGTATATTAAAATATCTCTTAACATGACATGACTGAGCAACTTCTACCTTGTTTGGTTTTGTTCTTTATTATTATTAAACTCTATGTCAGAGCAGAGGCATCTGATGGTTAGAAAAATTACTTTCTCCCATGTGATGTCTAATTATTAACACTAATATAATATGGTCTCCTCATAACTGTTGTTAATTAATCTGGTAATTTGACTAAGAGAAGTTAACGTTAGCTCTACCTGGCACTACAATTTGCTTCATAAGTGTCTTGGACAAAACCGTAAAACTCCTTTTTGTCTTATTAGATTAGGGTTTAGCATTATGAAAATACTATATCTATAATGTAACATGATATTGTAAATTTAGTTTTGCGTTAATAATAATTTGGTTAAACATAAGGTATTGTTTGGATTGGAGGTGTCGGACGGAGGGGGAGGGGAAGGGGAAGGGATGGGGACAGATGGCAAGGGAGGGAGAGCGAGGGGGGCTGTCTCCTTCCTCCTGTTTGGCTTTCCAAAGAAGCAAAGGAGGAAGGAGATAGACTGATTCGGACTCCCTCCAACCACCCTCAAATCTGCAGATTTGCAATCCGCTCGATTTAAGGGGTTTGGGAGGGATTTGAGTGACTGTTTGATTAAATTAAATATAATTACAAAATTAACCTTAATTTTTTTATTATATCCTTCTCCATTACAAACTTAAAGGATAAATTTATAAATTTAAAATTAATTTAAATCTTTTCCTTCCTTCCCTTCTTTTTACCTTAATTATTCAAACATAAAATAATACAATCCTTCCCTTCCCTTCCCTTCCCCTTCCTCATTTTTATTTATCCAAACAAAATTAACACAAATCATTTCCTTCTATTTTCTTCCCTTCCCTTTCTTTTCCTCTCCCTCCACGTCCTTTTATTTTCCTCCATTCCCCTCCCTTCCCTTCCCTTCCCTTCCCTTTACTATTTTCTATCCAAACAAGGGTTAAGGGTTGAATTTATTAGTAAATATCGATTGTGGAGATGTGTCTTGAAGATTATCAAGGGGAGAATTAGTCTAGTTTTGTAAAAGTTGATCTGAGGGATACCTTGAATGTAAATACTAAAAAATAAAAATAAATGGACAATTTTGCTTTTTATTACAATTGAAAATTTTATTGTAAATCTTTATTTATATAGAGTAGTTTTATAAAGATAATTTTTTTATATCACTTTTTGATAATATTTTTATATCATTTTTTGATAATATTTTTATATCATTTTTTGATACAACTTTTACATATCATTAAATGAGTTGATGCATTCAATATCACGGATTTCACACATGAATAAAAAAAATCAATTATTTAAATTACATCTCAAGTTGTCAAAAAAGATGATAAAAAAAATTATCCCAAAGTTATTTTCCATTCATGTAAATATCAAATGAGTGAATGTATACAGCAAATGAGTGAATGTATATTGATTTGTTTGTCTCACCTAAATTAAAAGTGCCAATAAACATTATATATCATATTGTAATTATTGTCAATAAATATTGTCATTTTGAGAGAAAATAAACCTTTTAAATTAAAATGATAAAAAGTCAATAATTAATATATTGATTAGAGTAGTGATTTATCTACACTTAAATTTTATATACAACACATATATAAAATTTTAACCATTCATCTCACTATTTTTACTGGTTAAGATTTATTTATATTTATTAAAAATAGTTATCTTTTTTATCTAAAAAATTATAATAAATTTCAATTATTAAAAATAAAAAAATAAATAACTAAAATTTTGTATAAATATAATGTATGAAATTTGTATGTAAGTAGAGGTAGAGTCCTCATTGATTGATTATAATATAATTATTAAATTTAGTTTTGTTTTACACCAACGTATAGAATTTTGGCACATGAAGAAATAAATGACAGTACACATATAGAGGGCTAGGCAATATGCCACCATCTCCAATTGTTCAGGTTATCAATTTATCTATAATTTTATTAATTTATAATTTTTGAAATAATTAGTATGATATTTAAAAATATTTTCTATAAATTAATTTTAATTTGTTAAATAATAAATATTATTTTTTATCAATTTTTAATTATTTTTAATAATTAAATTAAGATAAAAATTTAACAAAATTATTAATAATTTGAACCAATTAAATAGTGGCCAGAAACCATAGCCACGTATTGTTTGAAGAAAAGGAGAAGAAACAAATATTTTCAAAACTTTCAATTCCATGTTCCAGTATGAGATATCTTGTTTCTTGTCTGTTGGGATGGCATGTCTTATTCAATGCCGCCTTGCCCCAGAAGTTGTTTTTCAGAATGGATACAATACTAAACTTGTACCATATATATAAGACGGCAAAATACCCAAATCTACCCCCAAAGTATAGTGGTAGGGACGGATCCATCCTCGAACAAAAAACAGGGATAAATTCACCCATAAAGTTTTCGACTTGGACAAATCACCCCAAATTTAACGTGTGACATCATTTGACATCAGCAATTCGTTAACTCATTAACAGATTGCTGACGTCAGATGACGTCAAATTAACAGATTGCTGATGTCAAATGATGTCACACATTAAATTTGAGGTGATTTGTCCAAGTCAAAAACTTTGTAGGTAGATTTGTCCCTATTTTTTATTTGAGGGTGGATCCATCCCTACCACTATATTTTGGGGGTGGATTTGGGTATTCTGCCTATATAATACTGGAACCATTATAATCCAAGGCAATGACTTTAATGATGGTTGTTGTGGAAGACCATTTAGGATATTTTTCCTCTTTTTTTTTTTTTTTTTGGTTAAATGCACTTTTTCGGTGCTTGCACTAATATGTTGATAGTAACTAATCATAAAGTCTTAATAAGTGTAATAGGGTGGGTGGGATCCACTCTACCCTCTTCCTTTATTATCTACCGTGTTTGTTTATTGCAAAATACTTAAATTCACCCTCCAAGTATAGTAGCAGGGACATATTCATCTTTGAATAAAAAATAAAGATAAATCAATTTACAAAGTTTTCAATTTAAACAAACCACCTCAAATTTAATATGTGACATCATCTGACATCAATAATTTGTTAATTTGATGTCATCTGATGTCAGTAATCCGTTATTAGTGACATAACAAATTAACAGATTACTAAGGTCAAATAATGTCACACATTAAATTTGAAATGATTTATTTAAGTAAAAAGTTTTATAGATAAATTTATCCCATTTTTTGTTCAAAAATGAATCTGTCCCAACCACTATACTTTGAGAGTGAATTTGAATATTTTATTTTTTTTTATTTCTCTAAAAATGACCAATGACAATTACTATAATTTCTATAAAACTTTTGTTTATGTTGTAAATATATTTTATTTTATATCTTTTTTCATTTGCATGGAAATATTTTCTCTTTTCTATTTGAGGCTATTTTTGTAATAATTATTTTTTACTTTATATATTTTTGTGAATTTTTTTTAGTTTGATCTTAAAATTAATTACACTTTAAATCAAATAAATTAAGTTGGATAAGAACAGTTTTATTTTTTTCAAATTTTATAATAGTGTTAAAAAATATCTTAAACCTATTAAAACATCTATAAATTAATTGTTTAATACCACTCTTTTTTTCTATATATTTTATCTTATTATCTATTTCTAATAATATTTTGTTTTCTTCTTCTAAAAGGCAAATACATTCCAACAATCTACGAGTGAGTTTAATAATACTAGTCATTCATCATGGGACAAAAAAAGAGTGCTTAAATTGATCCAAGAAAGGACACTTATTGTACACATTTAAGAGTTAAGGACAGAAAAAAGTACTTGAATTAGTTTTAAGAACCAAAAAAGGTGCAAAGTTTAAAGTTCATGAACTAAAATTAGCATTTAACATTTCTTTTTAAAAAATGAAAATAAGTTGGAAATATCATGAGCCAATTTATTTGTGAATGTCACATCTGCCTTATCTTCCACCACCTCATTTTCACCTGCATTTACCTACCATGTAATAGTGATCATTACTGATCGACCCTCACTTCTTCCATGTAATTAAAAGGATGATAAAGTTCCGCCATGTAACACCTCTGTGACTTAGTAGGTGATTAAATCCATATAACATACAATTAAGTAGATGATTTATTCTTGTAATTCCTACCCTTCTCCTAACCTATACATGGGACTTGCAACTTGTAAAGAAATGATATGAAAGAAGAATAACAAAACTCTGCATGGTTCTCTTATTGTATCTCTCTAGTTCATACTTCTTCTACTTGTTTTCCTTTATTTTACAGGAGGAAGGTTAAAGTTGACAGACTTAGGTACCAAGAGAACACAGATTAACAGATATAAGACCACCCTATGCCCTCTCACCGGAAAGAGCACTCCTTTTCCAATGATCAACGCTCACCGGAGTTTCTTCTCCTTTTAGAAACTGGGTTTCTTTTTATAGATGAATGCTAAGGAACACTCAGGACTCAGCCCACTTTGCACCTGATTGATTAAAAACACCACATCAATCAGGTGAAAAGTGCATAAACACTCGGCCCTACCAATGCATTCTTCTTTTCTATATATATTATTTATTGAAGATATCAAGAGTGGAAATTCAAACCCATTTTTCATACCTGACGGAGCATACTCCAGCAATTGAGCCCTTTTCGGCCTCTTCGAGCTTAAACAATTTTGAATAGTTCCAGGCCAAGGGCTTAACGGGCCAAAAAATTATTTTGCGGCGTTTATTAAGTAACAAAAGTTTAGAGGGTTGAGAGCTTTATGCAGACGTAGTAAATAAGATCCTGAATCCAGACATGTCAAGTAAATCTTGCATTCAATGTGAAGGGATGTGTTTTTCATTGCTATGAAGGAAAAAATCACAAGTTATTACACCATAATATGCCAATGACTGTAGGCAAATACCATGGTATGCACAGATCAAGTTACACTAATGTCCTGGGATCAGAGCACCTTAAGAGCAGAACAGAAACTCAATGGTATAAAGGCGTTACCTAGAAAGAACACATCCTGATTCCTGAAGCAGTTTAGTCTCGAATTCTCTTCAATCTCTGCGTGGGCAAAGCAGGTGATAAAAAACAAAAAAAAATTACTCAATAGGATGCTTTATATTTAAAGAAAGCAGCAAAAAAATATATAGTAAAATTTAAACACATACATGTACAAACTATACAAACATCACGGTGATGAGAACTCTTAAATTTGGGATGTCAGTCTAATCTCAAAAACTCAAACCCATCTTCTGGCAAGAAGAAAGTGAAAGCTCCCTGTTATGCATTAGAATTTGAAGGCTTGTCTTTCCATCCTTTAGAAAGCAGATCATAGTTAATTGATGCAAGCTGGGAGAGATTCTAAACCAAAAAATAAAAAAAAAGAGAGAGAGAGAGAGAAAGTGAGAAGGTGCTAGCATAACCCTTTTTCAAGAAAAAAAAATAATAATGATGCAAAAGCATCGTGCAAAAATGGAATAAATTAACCAAGAGAATAAGCGTCAATTAACTGATCAATCTTGGTGAGAGAATACCTTAAAAGAGAAATTACTGAAGGAATAATTGACAGATGATCCAGACTCAAATTCAGCAAGGCCTCCACATTCATCTCCCTGCTTGTCATTTTGCAGGAGAGTCAAATACCAGAAAACATAAAATACTAGAATAACCATAATCTTTTTGTTGAACTGCACAAAAATTTTAAATTAAGAACTTAAAATACCACTTCATCCTGGCGATTGCTCAGGCAACCACTGCTTCCACTTAAGCTGTCAGCATCACTGGAATCATCAAGTTCACTTGGTGGATATACTTGCTCCACTGAAGTATTCCATGAGTAGCGACTTGTGAAGTAACTAGTATCAACAGCACTCTCTGAAGTAGGAACAAATGCAGCCTGTGGAATGCATTGAAACTTTAAGTCAACCAGAATTAAAATGGTAAGGCACTGTAAATCAAAATTGATTGTAAGGATATTCATACCTTTTGCCTTGCAAGGGTGTCCCAGTTGATATCTTTGAAAAATACATGCTGCTTCACCTACATTTTAAGTAGTCTTTTATTAATTAAACATTTAAAGCAAGTATGGGGAATATATGGTCAATATGAACAAGTCACAGAACTAAAGCTTATATTATTAAGAATCAACCTCTGATGCTCCTCTAGCTCCAAGTCTCTGATGCGGATCTTCTGTCAACAATCTGGAAATTGAAAGTACTAACTGTTAAATTAGTAAAGAACTTAAGCATTAATTATAACTCATAAAGCTGGAACCGGAATAAAGATGGTCAAATAATATCAGAATGAGAGGTATTACAGAACCAATTGGAATCTTGCATTACTTACAACCTTGAAGGCTTTGATACTTGCAAACATTAACCCTCGGTACACAGGGAAAGTGATTGCTAACGGGTGACGCGTGAAAACCTATTGTTTCCCATGTTTGGCTTTGATATGAAATAATTGACTATTTTAATGAATGGACAAAGTTGCATCTCCCTTTGTCCAAGAGAACACTAACTGCTCTTGCAATCTACTTTTTTCTTCTTCTTTTTTTCAGAGTCCACTGCTTTACAGTCTGGTGCAATCCAGACTGTAAAACAGGGGCCACTGGATGGGGGAGGGCCCCCAATCTCAGGAGGTCCACCCCCATCCAATGGTAAGTGTTGTGCAATCTGGTACAGTCCAGATTGCAGTACGCTTTTTTGTTTTATTTTTATTCCTACTTAATGCAGTAATTGATGACCAAAAGGTAGAAGGTCAGAACTTTAGGACACATACAACAGAACTCAACCTGTGTAGCCACCATGGAACTTTCCACACATAACTCACCTACACTCCTAGTGGCAATTCCCACCAACAAGAAGGCAACAATTCAACCACCTAACAATCAACATAACCAAAGACAAGCTAATGGATCCAAAAGAATATGTACCACAGTTTTTACAAGAGAAAAGCAACTGGAGTCAAGGATCTTAAACATAAATGAAAGAATGAAGAGACATACAGGAAAACAGGAGAATGAGTAAAAGAAATAAAGTTGGGCAGTTGCCATCATCAGAGAAAGCAATAGCAAAGCCATTGCAAACAGCAGAGGAGAATGTCACAATTACTCATGATGTGTCGGCAGTGGCTGGTACTTGTGCATTGCTACTGACAAGTGAGATAGCCTAGTAATTATCCAAGTCCTTAGCTATGGCTAAAACAAATGATAATCTATCTTCAAAACCAGCAAGTGACAGGTAGCTGAGACATCTTTGGTGGAAGAATACATACACAACTTAACTGGGATATATGATTTAGGGATTTGATCAAAAAAAAAAAGAAAAGAGGGAAAGAATCAAGAGGCCAAAGAAAAATAACATTGAAGCACATTGCATCTGCCACAATAGTGACCCTAGCAAGACCAGTTGTCACATTTCACTCCATGATAATGACTATCTTTGTAAGGGTGAATTCCATCATTGCCCTCCAACTTAGTGAAGTCTGAAGAGGAAAAGACAAAAAAAACAAAGAAAATGAAATAGAATTACACTGGCTTTGAGAACCATGTAAACTCAAAATACTTGGTGAGAAAAATACCCGTCAAGCAAAGCACGCTTTGAGACATTGGTTTCTATAAAACCACATCATAGGAGAAGAGAAATCATTTGGGCCCATTATCATCATATTGCTAGTGATTTCATCTTAAAAAGAAAATAGTTTTCACAAAGAATGAGTAATATATCACCAACCAAAAGATATTCTTACCGATCAATTAGATCATGTGTTTCAGGGCTCAGTTCTTCTGGCACCCGCGGCCATGGTATTTTACGGTTGAGTATATTATCAAATATTGTCTAGAACCAAGACAAAAAGAAAAAGAAAACAAATATAAGAATGATTATTGATTCAATTTAAAATGCAAACCAAATGTAGCACACTAACAACTTCAGTACCATTTAAATACAATGCAACAGTTTATAATGTAAATATATCAAAAATCTGAAGAGGTACTTCTAGTTCTAGGTAATTACTTGGGTCAAAAGATCCAAATGCTTGTAGACCTTTTCATGCAAACATATGCACCTTAAGGCCAATAGGTGATAACCCACAGTTTACTTAGAAGTTGATGCATAAATCATGATTCAAATTATCATATAACAAACTCCTCACAAAACTAACCATAATAGTACATCTACATCACTCAGCACCAGCATGTGGATCAAGAAGGTGATAAAGATATCAATGACTCAAAGCATAAAAGATAAGATGTTTACTCCTATATTCATATAAATAAAAGCACAACTCTAACTCATCCTCTAGAAAAATGTAAATACTTTAAACAATAAAACAACCCAACAACAAAGAAAAAACAAACAGCAAAAGGTAAGGAAAAAGAAAAAGGAATATCAGAGGCATCAAGAGCAAGCCAAGGGAGAAGAATAAACAACATCAACACAAAATTAGAAAACATTCAGAAACTAGAGAACAACCTGAGGATGCTCAGCATTGAATGGTGGAATACCCACAATCAATTCAAACAAAATAATGCCCACAGACCACCAATCTGCTGTTGCACCTGAAGAAAAATTTACAATGCAATAAATTTACTCATATACATTTGATCAGTAAAAAAGAGAATTACAAGCAATGACCAAAGTTCCATAACAGCAATAAATTTGTCTTTTGCAGAGGTCTAGAGGCAAGTGGTAGAACTTTAGTCTGTCATTGGATTTCTTGAGTGGTGGGCATCTCAAGATCCCTGTATAAGAATCTTATCCTTTGAATTCAGATAAAATATATATGTTTGTTTAGACAATGGCTTCATGTGTTTAACATATTTTAAAGCGTTTATCTTTTACCATCTTTACTACAATGCGTAGATGCATTAATGGTAACCTACTTGACAAATATGCTAGTTGAAATTGTGATAGAAAGCTATGCTGAGTTTCAGTTGCACGTTGGCATTGAGTAGACAAGGAATATATATTGGAAGTGTTGTCTGTTCTCTATGTGGAACTCTGCAAAAATTTTGTTAGAATTTTAAAATGTCTATTTTGTCCTCCTCCACCCATATCCTTGGGTTTGGGGTGTTGAATTTTATGCTTTTCTTGATATTTTTTCTTCTCCATCACTGCCTCTCAACTTCTAAAAAGTACATTACATTTTAAAACCTTGAAACATATGTTTAATTTTTGGAACCCAGACTCATTTTGCTACCTTGAAACACATAAACCCCTTATCCCAAAAACAATAGTCAAGGTCTAAAATATAGCATTTTTTAGCTCTTCCAGATTAGCTTCAATTATTGAACTAGATACATCCAAAAGTTCTCTCCTACACCCAAACTCTCTGGTTCTCTTCTTCTGGTCCTCTCTTATTTTCTTCCTTGTTATGGGTCTCTAAGCAGTATTCCTACTCATCACACATTGCAAACCCCCTTACAAAAACAAATTATACCCTAATTCTTCTAGGTTCCTAGTCTTTTACTCAAATAAACATGGCTTAAGCCAGAAACCTTTATTCAACCATAATTTCCAGAAATGTTTTCATCTGCAGATTCACAACATTATTTGATTATTTATAGTTCAGACTTTTGATAGAAATTTTCTTTAGTTCCCAAGTATATATCTCTATTAGGCTGATGAAATTTAACTGAGTTGAGCTTCAAATCAAATAAGAGATGAAAAGGCAATTAAAGCACCTTGAACTAAATAAGGCTATACGAACCATGTCCTGTTCCCAAAAGTATTTCAGGCGCCAAATAGTCAGGAGTACCCACAGCAGAGCGCTTCTTCCGCCTTTCTTGTTGATGCTCAGAGGCAGATAACTGGGGCTGCTCTTCTTCAAGTAGAGATGTGCCAGCTGGACCAGATAAATCATCAGTGCTGTTGATCAGACCAACCTTTGAAAGCCCAAAATCTGTCAACTGCTCAGGCAGAACAACAAAATTATTTTACTGTTAAGGGATATCTTAGAATAAAAATGGAATCTCCTGGTAAATATGATTTGCTTTCTGAGGTAAATATGTCAAATCCAATTCAGCTACACTAGTTTCTTAACAAGCTTATTAAAAAACCATCAAGTAACATCTCACTTTTCCATATAACAGGTTTTTCTAAGCATAAAAAATATAGAAAAAAACACAAACCAAACTTGAAAACGAAGGATTTTTTAATGAAATTTAATAGAAGGAAGACAAAGCTTTAACAGATATAATATTTGTGATCAATCCTAAGAAACCCATCTAGAAACATCCTACAAATACATTTTCCCCCACATTTTTAATTTTAAAAACTGAACTTACAACTACTTACATGGGACAAACATCTCAAGGTGAGTGTAAACTTGTAAGCAAAATATATCTACCCTTTAAGAAATTATGAGATGATATGATAAGCATCTCATAAAGCATACATGCCTGCTTCAGTATTACAATAAGCCAGAAATCTTGCAAGTATCATGGTAGAGGATGAACTAGACAAATATTAAAGACAAAGCATGGCCTGTTAAAATAGGAAACATATCTATGCACCTTTTGTGACTCAACAGATACAAAATCCTGTCCGATAACAACTTATAATGCCCATTCTGGCTTGAATGTCCTCTTATTTAGATTCCACTGAAGGAACCTGTTCTTATCAATATGGTGTTAATAAATTCAATTTATGCGAGTAAGTAAATGTCAAATGATGTCTCACATCTAGATGCTGGCTTCTATTAAAACACTATGAAATAACCAGGTTATTTGCCACAGTGACATGCTCAAAACCACAAAAGAAGAACACTAAATCAGCATGTGCATCAATTGACATCTAATCAAATTGCAGGAAGTAAAGGAAGTTGCATTAGTAGTTACCTTGATGTGACCATCATGTGCAATCAACAAATTATCAGGCTTTAAATCACGATGAACTACATTCAGAGAATGTAAATATTCCAAAGCAAGCACCTGAATTTTAAGTAAAATGATAAAATGAAGAGGTTTACACAAAATATCATAACCATTACAGTGTATCAATTAAATACACCAGATGAACCAAAAACTTACAACTTCTGCTATGTAGACACGAGCAACATCCTCATCCAAGCAGCCTAAATTTCTTAACAAAGAATATAAGTCTCCTCCATTCAAATACTCCATCACAAGATACAGGTTCTCACGGCATGTAAATGAATAGAAGAACCGAACCTGATTCAGAGCAATAGATGTGAGTATGGGATAACAAGTCTACAAGGACAATTAAAATTCTTCTAAAGATAGGCCTGCTCACCACAAAAGGATTGCGGACTGAAATTAAAATATCACGCTCTGCTAATATACTCTCGACTGCATTCTTGCGAACCATATCTGCTTTTTTGAGAACCTACACAAAACAGTATAAGTAGGAATTGGAGTCAGGCTTAATTCCCCTTCAATGCTGAGCAAAAAGTAAAAAGCAAAATATAAAATCCAGAAGTCAAACATGACATAATCTAAAATAATCAAGCATGAAAAATGCTTTTAGCCAGTGATGACCTATCCACTAGCAATGTAGACTCGTATAGAACACAACATTTCGTAAGTGCAAAGCAAAGGACCAAACGTGTACTTAACCACAGCATACAAATGGAGAAAGGATGGAAATGCATAATTATATTTAATATGCAGTTACAATAACAAAATATCAATTCAACTTATCATGACTTCTGAATTGCAAAGGAACAATATGAAGAAAAATTGAAAGATAATTTCACAGTACTACCACCATCTGTAAATTGTACAGGGACTAAATCCCAAGGTCTCAAGAGTTTAAGATAAGAAATTAAAATGAATTTCAGCTTAAAGATTAGGGAAGCTCATATGACAGGTCACAAATGAAAAACCCACCATTGCTAGTGGCAAAATCAAAGGAAGACTAAGAAGAGGAAGGAGATAGAGAAAGGAAAGGCTGGAAGGCTAAAAAGAGATCTAGTGAATAAACATTCATGTGAGAGGAAAGAAGAAAAGAGTTTTTGGCTTAGGCATTTCAAAGAAACGTGACTTAGCCTCTTAGTTGTTGTTCTAAAACACTACACTTACACTGAGAATAAACATAATTTAAGAAATGAAATTTCTAACGCTTTCTCAGAATGAAATCTTTTCAAATATTTCCTCATCCAAAGACAGCTACAGTCTCCCTTGGGTGTCAGTTCACAAAATTAGTTACATAATGTGATGCCCAGAAAACATGGTTCCCCATGTTTTCATGGGTCGGATTCTATTAGGATTCTAGAGAATTTAATAGAATGTACAAGATGGTAAAAAAATCAGGTTGACAATCTCAGTTAGCAGTGGCCACAAAATAGCTAACCGTTGTCATGATAATAACCCTTACTTTGACTATTATCTTTTGCAAATTGTTGGGTATTTTTCTAGGAAACAGTTACCAAGCCTTTTGGATGAGAACACTTGCTCAATTATCAATATCAGACAATAATAGGTATTTGTTTCCTATTGATAGTCATACTAATGGGGAAGGAAGAAACTGGACATTGGAATTTGATATTATGGTCAACTACAGCAGAGAAAATTGTCCAACCAAATCAACATTTTTTTTTTTTTTTGTGAAATCACAAGTCCAATACTTAGAGAGTAAGCTACTGAAACTGCAATACTATATGAAACCACATATGCTCCATTGACATTTGACCAGGAGGTTGACACATTCCAAACCAAAGATACAAAGTTTAATCATCTCAAAGCACAACAGCTTAGCCAAGTTGGTACCCACCCACTAACTTCAAAACCTTAGTTAAGGGGCTAGGGTCAAGAGTTGAAACCTCTGCAATAGGCAATAGCTAAGCACCTAACTTAAACAAATAAAAAAATTGTTTTACACTTTCACATGACATAACCATGGTTCACAATTAGCCACATAAAAGGTAAACAATGAAAAGTACATCCAAAGAAGCAAATTCAAGGCAGTTAAAAGTTTCAAAAAAAAAACCAGTGAGAAAAAGTTGAACTGAGCTACCTTTATTGCAAAAAGATCCCCAGTTGTTCTCTTTTTAGCCAAGAATACACGTCCAAATGCTCCCCGACTGATTGGTTTTATTATCTCAAAGTCATCTATAGAGGTTCGATCCTTAGAAGAATGCATAGGACTTGTTCTCAAACTACGAACAACATCATCTTCCAAGGGAGCATCCTCATCAATCACAGTGCTTGCTATATCAAGCTTGTCATCGTCCACTAGCTCACAAAGCTGAAAATACTTCTCCCTAGGAAATTCAAATTATCACACCATAAGAAAAACATGACAGTGAATGATTAGGACCTTCCACAGATGAAAGTACAAATTTTCTAGTCACTGTGCCCACTGATCTGCATGTTTCACACAAAAACTTTAAAAAATAAGCAGCAGCAACATGCTAACCTGATCAACTTCTCAATACGTGTCCCAAATGTCTCCACTGTAAGTGCGTCAAACTTTCTGCGGTCTATCACAACACTAAGGTCCTCAAGACAAGATAATAAATAAGGCATAGAGCGATCATCATCCAATGGCATATTTGCTACACATCTTGCAATATCAGCAAGTTCATTCATCTGCATATGTATAAGGAATTATACACACGATATTAGTGACCTTGCATACAAACTTTCCAATGGATGGCAAAAAGCACATTAAGGCCACACGATTCATACCAAAAAAAACAGTTCAATAGATACATCATTAATTTCTCTAAACAACTGTCAGCAATTAAAGTTGAGATTTAGGGATAATAAAGCACCCACATACATATAGCTGGTGAATAAATTAAAATGGGTTAAAGAATTCATCTGAGGACCTAAATACCAACCAAGCTATCCATGTGCAAAGAAGCAAGTTTAAACAGCCAAACAAGAGAAAACGAAACGGAAGACTTCTCCAGACAAACATTAAAAATATCAAATAAAAATTTAAAATTTAAAAGGGGAAAAATAGCAAGAGACATGATGCATTAACTACATATGGCATCTGGCAAACAGGGCTTCTAGGTCAACAGTTCTCAACAAATCATTCACTGGGAATTAAACCAGATAGAAGGATACCTGTGGCAGATCATGTTCGGAGTATGTACCCTTGCCTGACAATAGCAAATCTATCTGACTTTGATATAGTGGAGATTTAGGAGTCATGCTTCCTGCAGAAGATGTAGTCATTCCTTGGTCTGACTTAGGACCTAAACGTGTTTTACATGACATGGAAGGCAAACCCTTTAGATCATCCATAACAATGGAATTATCAGCTTCAGGAAAACAGTCTAGCATGTCCTCTGAGCCCCTTCTGGACCAGTCACTCAGTTTTGGAGATGGAACTTCAGATTCTTCAGTCATACTTGAATTTGATACTTTTGCAAGATCTGGGCTTCCAACTCCCTGTTGAATGTCCTTTGGAGTCGAGGACTCTATCTTCTCAAGAGTTTCAGCAATTAAAATTAAACGCTCATCAACACTAAGTCCTTTCTGATCACATCGATCAGCTATTGCACAAATTCTAGAATGGTCTTCAACATGTGATTTGGGAACCTCCTCCTCACAAATGCGACAAATGATAGAACTTTCTTCAGAAACATTCTGCTGGTCTCCCCAGTAACCCCAAGAAACTTTATGTTGATGCTTGGAAGAATGCTCTTGAGATTCTTTTGGAGGAAACTCAGGCAGCTTGGCAACAGCCAAATCTACATCAGTTCCTCTCTTTTTCAAGGTTTCCGTCATACTATCTTTCTGATCTTTCAATGAAGCAGCTTCCTTCATGTTTTTTGATGCTGGAGATGGGAGTTTCTTCCAAGAAGACATACGTTGTCTACTTGAAGGAGAATCCAAGATCTTGGGAGTATCAACAGCTGGGGGAGAGATGAAACTTTCCGGCTGTTCCACAGGGTCACTTTTCCAACTCAAGCCATGTTGTTCTTGACTGTAGGATTTCCTAGATTGAGCTGCTGCTGATGCCTTTGCAGCAGTTGAACCTTTCACCTCCCGTCCTATCCCTGAAGGAATTCTCTTATCAGCTGAATGCAAGACTCTAGATTGGCGAAGTTGGATCACATGTTCATCCTCAGGCAAAAAACTTTCCTTGTGGAACTGCAACAACCTGGTACACCTAGTGAGAATGAAAAGCATCTTTGTATATAGCTGCTTCAGCATTCCAGGAGGAAGTTCTTGGCGCTTATCATCCAACTCCTGAACTATGCCTTCACATTGAAACCAAAATTCACCAGGTGGTGTTATAGCACAGCTCCGGGCCAAAATAAGCAAGTCCTCAATGGTTTCCTGCCACTCAGGATGACTTTCTATATTCTTTTCAAGAATTCCAACCAGGTCTGCAGCAAAAATAGCCAGATCAGAATTAACTTCCTCCTTTGCTTTGTCAAATCTAGCCCGAATCATAACAGCCACTTCCTGTATTAAACAGCAAGGTAATTAGAAGCAGAATGCACAACCTACAATGAAAGAAAAAGCAAGACAAGCACCATAGTACCTCCAAGTTATTTAAGCGTCGTGGAATAGCAGAAAATGGAAAAGGTCGTACGCCTTTGGAATTTAATTCATGGGAAAAGCTCTTG